GGGGTGCCCCAATGTGAATGAGCATTGCTATGGTAAAATGGACTCCATCTTTCAATGGATGCATGAGAAATTTACCCAAATCTTCAGACAAAAGTGGATCTTGTTATTTACAACCTCCTCAATCAGCAATACTATATGTTAGCACTGTAGACAATAAATCAGAAAAGAACCAATGGAAAGTGTCTGAAGCTCCTTGTTAGCTGACAGGCTTCTGAATATATCTCTGTGGTCCACAGAGTAGATTGCATTAGATGGCAAAGAGTTGTAAGGTCAGTTATCACAACCTTAAAACAAAGTTGGGGACTCTGGATGCTAAAACATTCCTAATCTGCTTATTTTGCTTTTGTTCAATGAAATAAATAAAAGTAATTTTTTGACAGGAAAGGGAAGGTTCTTCCTAACTCATTGAAGTGTTTTTTGTTTCTTTTGTGTGAGGCTTTAATTTAAGGCCTGGGCACTGTCCCTTAGTTTTTTCACTCAAGGGTAGTTCTCTACCACTTGAGCCACAGCCCCAGTTCAAGCTTTTTGGTGGTTAATTGGAAATAAGAGTCTCACAAATTTTCTGCCTGCGTGGGTTTTGGATCATGATCCTCACACTCAGCGTCCTGAGTAGCTAGGATTACAGATGTGAGCCACCAATAACCAGCTCCTTATTGAGGTGAATAATGAATATTGTTAGTAAAGTGACTAACATTAACCACCACTCAATTAGCCTTAATTTATTTTGTTATTCATTTGATTTTGACATTTTATTTAATTTAGAACCATCAGGGCAAAAAATTAACCATGATTCATGGTCTCTAAACCACTTATATTTATTTATGCATTTATTCATCTTGTTTATTTTTATATTAGCTTTTTTATTCTTGTGTGGTCCTAGGGATTGAAGTCAGGGCCTGAGCACTGTCTCTGAGCTTTTTTTTCTCAAGGCTAGTACTCTACCACTCAAGCCACAGCTCTATGTCCAGCTTTTCGGTGGTTAACTGGAGATAAAAATTTCTATGACTTTCCTGTCCTAGCTGGTTTTTAAATGCAGTCCTCAAATGTCAGTCTCCTTAGTAGTTAGGGTTACAGTTGTGAAATACCAGCACTGGACTATATTAGCTTGGCCTTTTATGTGATTGGGTTTCACTCTGCCTATGGGCATCTCTTGGTACTGAAATTGTTCAGGGCCCTTTCTTTGAGCTCTTGTCTCCCTGAGAGTCACTGTCCCTCTGAGACCTCTATTGACTGTGAGACCCACACTACCTTCATTTGGAGTGACATCTTTTTCTTTTTGTTTCCATTAAAAAAATTTTTGTACCAGTAATGAGGCTTGAACACAAGACCTGAGCACTGTCCCTTAGCTTTTTCTATCAAGGCTCATATCTATCACTTAAGCCATAGCTCCTCTTCCAGCTTTTTGGTGGTTAGTTGGAGGTAGGAGTCTCACAATCTTTCTTGCCAAGGTTGGCTTTGAACCGCAAACTTCAGTTCTCAGACTTCTGAGTTGCTAGGAATATAGGTATAAGCCACTGACACCTGGATGACTTTAATTACGGTGTTAGAATACAGTCTCTCCAAAAGCAGTCACAGACCCCAGTGCCTCACAGAGTGCCTGGCATAGAATAGGTGCTCCTTATGGTCACACATTGCTTAGTGACAGGGTCACATTCTGAGGAACATGGCACAATGTCACTAAGTGCTATATAGGACCCTAATTGTGTGGCTCATCATTGACTGCAAATCTGTTATGTGGCACATGACCATACATGAATCTAGGGGTACCTCAGACCTTCAGTGATCCCCTCCAGTCACAGGTGGGAGTGTCCATATTTTAATATGTGCTTCCCAAGGAATGCGGGCTTGCTGCTCAAGGAATATTGAGCAGCAAGGAATCTTGATCTTTCCTCTGTGAGCTATCTAGAAGAAACAGTTCCACGCCCTGAGTGGTCAGCAATTTTGCTCTTTTTCCATGTCTCCATCATCTCTCAGCAGTATCTGCCACATGTTTTCCATGCTGAGGGCTAGGAGTGAGTCACTCAAGATAGTGTTCTGGGGTGGCATCTAAGCAGGGTGGTTGATAATAACCTCCATTGTTGGAGTGGAGGATGCAACCACTCTCTGTATTGAAAGGATTATTTGCCTCTTTGGGACTGTGACTGTTTCATCAGGATCAGGAGCACTGTGGCTTTACTGGGACAAAGTCCTTGATGGAACAGGTGGCCTGTCTGAGACTCACCCTCCTCTTCCCAAGGAGTGGCCTGGAGTTGGCCATGTCTCCTGGATTAGATGGAAGTAGCCTCATCCCTTCAACAAAAGCCTCTCATGCCTGTGTCACTCTTCATAGAGCTTACTCTGCCTCACTTTGGGCCTTTCTAATCCTATACCGCAAGTGCTGCAAGTGCCAGGCTACATTCCAGGCACAGACCTCTGGAAGGAGTAAGCACACAGGTCCTTACCCTCCTAAAGCTAACATTCAAGGGAGGGAACAGAACAGACAAAGCCACTGGGAAGCTCTGGAGCATACTGGGTGCCCAAGGTGGTGATATGACATAAGCGATGAGACAAGCTGGAATCTAGGAAGGTTTCTGTGATGAGATGGTCTTGGGGCAAGACCTGAAGGAACAGTGAGTGGTAGCCACTGTTCTATTTCATCATCTGTCCATGGCACAGGAAGTACAAGTTCAGGTTCAGGCGGCGTTGGTGGGAGCTGGGGGACATTTGGGGAGAAACTGGGATATCTAGGGATAGAAGTGAGAAAAAGGAAGTCCAGCCTGGCAACATGGCCCCATCTTAGTCAGCAAAGGATGGTGGCCCCTCCAGTAGCATGTACTGCGCCTTTGGCGGCATGCCTCTCCCTAGTGACCTAGTCTGTGGAGGGGTGGCTTGCTTCTTGATGCCCCGCCCCTTCCAGCGGGCTGGGCCACGGCCTGAAACCTGGGCCTGGGCGCTGTCCCTCAGCTCTTCAGCTCAAGGCTAGTGCTCTACCATTTGAGCCACAACGCCATTTCCAGCTTTTTTTTTTTCTTTTTGCTTATGTGGTGCTGAGGAATCGAACTCAAGGCCTCATGCATGCAAGGCAAGCGCTCTACCACTGAGCCACCTTCCCAGCCCACTTTTTAGAAATTTTAACACAAAATATACAATGTTTATTAGTTGGTTATCTGTGTTTATTATACACTGGCAACCTCTTTAACATCTCCCAAGACTAGATGTAAGTTAGGACTCCTTTGTCCTTATTATACAATATGAGCACAAGAAAATAGAACAAAATGGAGTAATGTTACTCTTCACCATCAGCACTGGCCTGGCCCTGTTTGAATTTCTTACTGCTGGGAATCAAGGCCCAAGCACACTGCCTACAACTCAAGGAGTTAGCCATTTTCCCTCCAAAATACATTTCATATTGTTATTAACAAAAAGACACTTATAAAATGTTATTTTCCTACTACTAGTTTGAAAATACATCAGACATTTCAGAACATCAGAGATACTTAGCTCAGTCAACTCTGTATGCAGGAAGGGAAATAAGATGCACACAGATCAGTGATTATTATCAGCAAGTCTTCTCCACATGACTAGTCTGACACCGGACCCCTCCTCTTCTGTGTTCTGTCCAATGTCCTCCAACCCACACAACAAACCAGGACCAGTGTCTCCTTTATCCATATATCAACAACCTCTTTGCATCTGTAATGTTCAGATGGACCAAAAGTAGTCTTTTAAAAGGTTGGGGAGGGCTGGGAATGAGGCTTAGTAGAGTGCTTGCCTAGCATAATAAAGCCTTGGGTCCCATTCCTCAGTACCATATAAACAGAAAAAGCTGGAAGCAGGTTGTGGCTCAAGTGGTAGAGTGCTAGCCTTGAGTAAAATAAGCTCAAGGACAGTGTCCAGGTCCTGAGTTCAAGCCCCAGGACTGGTAAATAAATAAATAAAAGCAAGCTTGGGGTAAGTTGAGGGTAGCTTTTTCATATTATGCACATGGACCTACAAGCGGCTAGTAAATCTGGAGGCGGGGGCAGCATCCAGTGGGCAAATGTGTCTCTCACTCCACCAATTCTCCGGTGACACAGGGCCCAACTATGGCACAAGCCCAACCACTTGGGTCGCCAGCCGTTGTACTGGCGGTGTCCGGGGGCGTGGGGGGTACCCTCGCTTTCCAGGACTGTTAGGGCCTTGACTGTCCTTGTAGCAGTGGGATGAGGAATCCCTCTCGGGGACAGGTTTTAGGGCCACTCCTGGGCCGAGATCGGTGACTGAGTAGCCTAGAATGCTGGCGAGCTCCCAAGGCGGCTGGCCTTCTCCTCCCTCCCTCCCTGAACCTCTGCTATCCTTCTTGCCTGGCAGTGCTATACCTGCTACCACCCGAAGTCACTATGTTGACAGCCTGGAAGGGCCTTTGCCCAGTCCAAGCAAGGTGGGACAGAGCTTAGAGAAGCCAGGGCTGCATCAAGTGATTGCAGTGGAGCGTGGATGTGTGGAGGCTCGCATGGCTGCAGGGTAAAGGCTGGGGCCTGGTCCCTGACTGGCTCATCCTTGGGCCTGTAGACTCGGGGTTCCCTGGGGAGCAAGCAGGTTGTGCTCCCCACTGTAAATCATGTCTCATTTCTGTTCCTATAAGGTCCTGATGCTAAACACTTACTGTCTTTGTTTTCTTATTCTTTGGAAGTCCCCTGTCCCCATTTCATTGTCAGGTGGGTTATGGTTTAGTAACTTATCTTGCCACCTGCAAGCTGTATAGGCCTCAGTTCCGTGACTGCCTGCTTCTCTACTGATATGAGCCTTACATAAGTAGGGCTGAGGTTAGGTAGGTAGATGACAGTGGCAGAATTCTGGTTTTCTGGGCTAGTGGCGTTTAGAGGACTCACACTCACCCCCAACTCTAAAAAGAGTACCAGCTCTTTTGGACAGAACTGGAAGGTGCCAGCTGTGAAATCAGAAAGCAAGTTTTACCTTATCAAAGCTTTCAGCACCTTGACTTCCTGTCTCCCAAATTCAGTGGTTAATTTCTCTTGTTCCTAAGCATCACAGTTCAAGACATTAGACAATCAAAAGAACAAAGACCAGGCACCTGTAAGCTCAGCCATGTTCTAAGAACATGGAAATCAGCCCACTTCAGATGAAGATCAAAAGTTTATGTGTGCATGCATGCATGTGCACCCCTGCCTGTCAGTACTGGGACGTGAACCAAGGACCTAAGCACTGTTCCTTAGCTTTTTTTTTTTTTTTTTGGTCAAGAATGGCACTACCACTTGAGCCACAGCTCCACTTCTTGTTCTACTTCTAGCTTTGGTGGTTAGTTGGAGATAATAGTCTCACTAACTTTCCTGCCCTAGGTGGGTTCTGATCTCCATCCTCAGATCTCAGCCTCCTGAATAGCTACAGGTGTGAGCCACTGGCACCCAGCAGGTCAAAGATTTTATGGCTATCCTTTAAAATCACCCCTGGTTTTCTTTTTTCTTTTTTCCCCTTCCTTGCTTCTTTCCTTTTCCCTTTCTTCCTTCCTTCCTTTCTTCCTTTCTTCCTTCCTTCCTTCTTTTCTTCCTTCCTTCCTTCTTTGCTTCCTTCCTTCCTTCTTTGCTTCCTTCCTTCTTTTCTTCCTTTCTTCCTTTCTCTGTAGAATTGTGGAAGGAAAAGAGCTAAAGAAGTAGGGGACATGGTCAAAGTATATGTATATGGACACACAACATTGAAATCTTTTAAAACTATTTGGGGAAGGGTTGGGATAGCTCTGAGAACTGCAGGGCTGGGTCTGGTGTGGGGCACAAAAGGAGCCCCCACTTTGTCTCCCATTGCTGGGATTCCTGTGGTCTATGTTTGTACAGGAGCTAAATGGCTATAGGTTCATGCACTCAGTCCTGGGGTAGTCCTGGGGTAGGTGGCATCTGGTTGGTAGTGACTAGGGAGACATTGAAAGGGAACTCACTGGGCCAAATCTTAACTTGGCTCTGGATAGGTTCCCAAGCCCAAATGAAGTACATCAAACACAGGGTCATGATGTGACTGCACAAGGTAGGCTTAACAGGAAGACCCTCTCATCCTCTGAGCCCCACATCTGCACTTTTAAACAGGCTGCAGGTAGCATAAACAGGACCCGCAGTGGTGTATGTGGCACTTGAAGAAAGATGAGCACCCAGCCCTCAGGAGCTGTCATTTCCAATGCAGAAGCATAGACTCTGCAGAATTTCTTAGAACTCTGGATTTCCTCTCAACTGAGCCTTCTAAACTCTCAACCTCAGCTAGATATTAAGGGAAGATTTGCATCCATTAAAGACCTTCACAACAAAGGCCAAAGGAAGTGCAGTGCAGCCTTAGGTAGTAAGTACTGGATTCCATATTGGCCCCTACTTCTGGTTCTCCTGTCTTCCTCTGTAATATATCCTGGCTCTTTGGCTACTCTCTTGGCTTAACCTCTCAAAAAGGCAACCACCCATGGAAAGGTACCAGACAATGGACTGTAAATAAAAGCAGCATGTCTGTGGGAAGTGTCCTCATGTGTTAGGGACATGTCCTTTTCCTACCCCCTTTTTCTTTCCTGTTGAATGATGAGGTAGAATGGAAACAGCTACTATGGAATAAAATGAGAACTTGGAATAAAGGTGAGGTGAGCTTTAAGGACCTAGGTTTCAGCTACTATGGAACACCTAGCATGCATGCTTCACACTCCAGACCTCTGCTGCCTCCTACCTTCCTGCCTTGTGGCGGCCACTTCGGTGACAGGCCTCAAGGGCTAAGTGGGATGTATCAGTCCTATCCCTGAGCTGTCTCTTTTCTTAGGCTCCTGAGGCTGGGTTGGCTGGAGACAATGCTTGTGATAATGGGGGTCACAGTTACAGGGCATCACATTTCCTCCTGGCAGGTGGTCCAACCAAGATCCCTGAGGTGGGGGTAGCATTCCTATTCCTGATCATCAATAGAGTTCTTGGGATCTGAATGATTCTACTCTCTATTAAAGATAAATTACTCATTTCACACTTCTATTTTGAACAATATTTGCTTTCCATAGAAGATACAAAAAGGTGTTTGGTTAATACATGCACATATGAAAATCATTCTCACTTGATCCAGAAGTAACTTATAAGACTGTGACATCACCTTTCTGGAGATGAGCATGTCCCTTTCCTCAGATTCATGTCCAATTAGAACCTCAGGATGTGTCTGTGCTTGGAAACAGTTTTGGGGTTTGAGGAAGTGTTTTTTTTGGGGGGTTGGCATTTCTTTTTGTTGGTTGTGGGCCTTGAACTCAGGGCCTGGGCACTGTCCCTTTTTACTCAAAGCTAGCACTCTACCACTTTGAGCCACAGCTCCACTTCTGGGCTTTTTTTCCCTTTCATTTTTTGAGTGGTTAATTGGAGATAAGAGTCTCACAGGACTTTTCTGCCAGGGCTGGCTTTGAACCACGATCCTAAGATCTCAGCCTCCTGAGTAGCTAGGGTTACAGGCGTGAGCCACCAGCACCTGGCTTGTCCATGTTTTTATTTTTATTTATATTTTATATTTTATTTTTATTCCAGGTCTCCTCACTTATTTTTCCCACTAGAGCTATAATCATGAACTACATCTACCCCAACCTTCTCCTGCATTTATGCCAGCTCAGCTCATCATGGAATATACCTTACCATCACTCCTCAGCATGAAACTCAGCCACTCCAATGCTCCACATTATGACATTATGGAATTAATCTACTCCAGCTCTTCCCATCATGGAATATGCATTATTCAGCTGTCTCTCTCTCTCTCTCTCTCTCTCTCTCTCTCTCTCTCTCTCTCTCTCTCTCTCTCTCTCTCCCTCTCTCTCTCTCTCTCACACTCACACACACACACTGGCTGTCTTCAGCATGGAATACATCTACCACCGCAGTTATGAGCATGAGCCATGCATGACACAGATATTTCCTTCATGGAATTTGTCTGCCCTAGCACTTACCCTCATGGAATACCTATACTTATGCACCCAACAGCTTGGTATATCATTCTATCTCTTCTCAGCCAACCCATTTTGACATGTAATACACATACTTCAGCTCTCAAGATGGAAAATTAGAAATTGAGCTCTTCTAGCATATAATATATTCAATAAAAGACTTTATGTCTTGGAATAGTTCTATTTCAGGTTGCTTCAGAAAGAATGGATCTGCTTCAGAAAGAATGGATCTGTGCCACATTTGCCAAAATAAATCTTTATTCTCCAGATTTGTCAACCTAGTGTACATGTACCCCATGACTCCTTAGGTTGTAGTTCAACTTCCAAGCTCACCACACAAAGACATATTTCTACCATCTTTTCTCAATATATCCCTATTTTTCTCAATATTGAATACCTCTATTCCAGCTCTACTAACCCTGGAATACATTCTCTACAAGGAATAAAATCCTAAAAGCACACCTTCTCATTGAGCTCTTCTCAGTAAAGAACACATCCAACTAGAGTTATACTCATCATGGAATATATCTACCCCAGCCCTCCTCTATGTGGATTACACTTATGCCAGATCAACTCATCATGCAATAGATGATCCCATTTCTGCTCAGCATCAACAGTGCTCATTTCAGCTCTCCCAATTATGGCATAAATTGACTCCAGCTCTATTCATTGTAGACTACATACTTTAGCTGTTCTCATTATGGACTATACCTACCCTGATTATTTTCAGCATGGAATATGTTTACTATAGCAATTCTTTGCATTGAATATGAATGTGATTGCTATTTTCTTCATGAAAATTCTCTGTCCTAGATCTTCCCTGCATAGAGTACATCTGGCACAGCTATCTGCCCTATGAAATACATGCACTTCAACACCCAACAGCATGGAATACATCCACTCTATCTCTTCTCAGCATGGAGTATACTACCCAGCTCATCTCTATGGAATACACAAAGTCTAGCCCTCTCCATTGTGAAGTACAGCTACCCCAGCTCTATTCAGCGTGGAAAATGGGCAATTGAGTTCTTCCAGCATGAATATGTGTAGTACGGGTCCTTAAACAGTAAAATATTTGTAGTCCCAGTCATCGCAGGATGGAATGCTTCTTTGCCCACTATTGGCACAATAGTGTAAATGTACCCCAGGTCACCTTGTATTGCAATTCCTTTACCAAGCTCATCTCATCAACTAATATATTTTTTCCATTTCACATATACTCATGTTCTTCTTATTATGGAATACATCTAACCTACCTCTACTGGATTGGAATACATCAACTACACCTATTTTCAACATGGAATACAATACAATCTTTCCTATGCTCTTCCTCACTAGATACAACCACTTGAATTATTCTCAGCAAGGAATGCATCCACTAGAGCTATGTACATCACAGGACCAATCTACCCCCAGCCCTCCTCTTCATGGAATCATTTTATGCCAGCTTTGCTCAACATTGTATACACATTCCCATCTCTCCTCAGCATAGAAATCCACTCCAGCTCTCCTCATTATAGAATGAATCTATTCCAGCTCTTCTCATCATGGAATGCATTCTCCTGATCTCCTGGCTGTCTTCAACATGGGATACACCTGCCACAGCAATTTTTTGCACCCACCAAGCTGTTTACTTCATGGACTATAGCTGCCCCAACCCTACTCCACATAGAAAATATCTGGCTTGGCTATTCTCATTATGAAATATCTCCATTTCAGCACCCAACAGTATGGAAAACATCCACCCTGTATCCTCTCAGTGTGAGTTTATCTATCCAACTCATCTATGCATGGAATCTATATAGTCTAGCTCTTCTCATTATGAAAAACAGCTACTCCAGATTTACACAGTGTAAAAAAATAAGAATATGCTCCAAATGTAGGATATATTCAATATGTATCTTTTATATCATGGAATACATTTTTCCAGATCCCCTTAGCATGGAATATTTTGTTGCCCACAATTTGTAACAAGAAGTTTTTATGCTCCAGCTTTGCCATCCTGGGAGACAATTATCCCAATTATCCTTGGGTTGTTATCTCTTCATTATGAAATTCATTTAGCAAGATTTACTCACCAAAGAATGCTTTTTCTTCCATCTCTTA